AAGAAAAAGAAAAAAATAGAAAAGATTTTCTCCCTACGCGCTCAATCACTTGGCTCACTGATTGCCATCTTTTGCACATTCTTGAGATTCATTACTGAAAAATTAAACATCTGAAGTGACATGCCTTCGGCGCAATTACATTGTCACCAGTTGCCGACAGAATTCATTAATCAGTAGTTGCAACAGCTGAAATAACATAAACGATTGTGTATTTCTACTTTTCATTCTAGGTTATGGTTTTTTTTTGTTTTGGTGTAGCAAATTCAATTTAAAGCTAGCTGGTTATGAGTTAGTGATTTCCTTTCCTACAGGGTTTCACAAACCGCAGTAAAAAGGCCAGTTCGAGATTTGTGATTTTTTGCTGCGACTCCCCAGGGTATTCTGAAGCTTCACGAAGGTGCAGCTCTCATGGCACAATGGGACAAGCATCCACACATCACTCTTCTCATGCATCTGCGAATCATAGCTTGAAAACTTACATAATGTAGCGTAAAATATACTCAATCTTTGCGCAAAAGCTGAGGTAGGTACATGCTGTGTAAAATTTAATTTAATTTTCGTTCCAGAACAAATTACTATTCCTAATCCACTAAAATTCTATTACTCTTTTGAAATTGGTGTGGGGGACCCCTTTCGTTGATTATACTTTTTGAAAGTTTTAGGACTTGATTGTATTTCGTGATAAGTTTTAGGACTTAATTACACTTTTTGAAAGTTTTAAGACTCAATTACACTTTTATGACAAATTATCCCTATTGTAGAAAGGAGCAAAATCTGTATTTCTAGTCCCTTTGTTGAAAAACCAAAGTCACTATTGTCTTCATCTCAGTGATTCCTGTCCTTTGAGGATGGTTTCCACCTCTCCAAAATCCATCCTTGCTCGATAGGTTTGCATCCCATCACCAACGTCAATCGGTGTTGTTCACTTCCCCGCCATTCTCGTAATGACCGCCTGTTGCACAGGTGCGTCCGCCTCCTTGTAAGCGGACAATAAAGAAATGCATTATCAACGGCTTTGATTGAGTCGATTGATTGCGAATCAGATCCGCGAAAGTATTAGCTTCAAAAAAATGGCCAAGAGTGGGGACCAGAAGCCTTGGCGGCATCATCATCAACTTGTAGCTTGTTTTGTCTCAATTCTCTTTCACGTGTATTGATTACTAGGTTGGAAACTACCACTACAGCGTGTGGGCCCCAGTAAAATGACTCGGCGTTATAAGTATGGCAAGTAAAAGGGTCAAATTCTCGGCGTACAAGGGTGGGAATAAGATTTAGAAAAATTTTCATTTTTAATCCCCGAACCGATGCAGATTTCTAATCAAGTGCTTAGACTTTTAATTCGTCTAATCAAATTATTGAATATGCATGGGCTTTCTAATCAAGTTCACATTGCTCCAAATCCGATTAGTTGGAGTTAACGTATTCGTCTGAACCGGTTAGAGTTTTGACGTGAAATATGGAATCGCGACTATCGAATTCTATGAAGGTACTTTCATTTCCTTTTATGACTACTTAATGTATACATCGCGACTATTGAATTCTATTTTGGTGAATAGTAGAATACTAGTTGATTTTAAAGCATGTCTTCATAGTTTACTAACGACTTCTGCTCATGTACTGATTTTTCTTCATTTCTTGGATGATTGGGCACGCATGAAAACCATTCTGTTTCTCTGTTTTTCTATTTTTCTGTTCCCGGGAACATGTTTGGAACAGAAATCCGTTTGGTAACGCGATTTCATTTTTCTATTTCTGGAACAAATTTCTACTCCAGAAATAGGTTTGGAACAAAAATCAGAAATAAAAAAAAAATCTACCTTTCTATTTCTGGAACATAAATGAGAAATAAAAACTCTTCTCATCGCTCGCGTCTCGCTACTAGCCGGCCGCCCACCCGCCGTTGCCATCACCCGCCTCTCGCCACCGTTGTCCATTATCGGCTACCTCCCACCGCCGTTCGCCGCCACCCACCGATGGCCATCCACCACCACCACCTGTCATCCTCCACCACTGCCCGACTTCGTTCGCCTCCCACCATTGGCCGCCGTCATCCACCGCCGTTCGCCGCCACCCGCCGGTTCTCGTTGCCGCCCATCGTCCTCCGCCATCCACCACCACCCGATGTCGACCACCTCCCGCTGCCACCTTCTGCCACTGCCCGCTCGCCAGCCACCTCCCGCCGACTGCTGGGGATGAAGAAATTTTGTATCGTTATCAAACGAATTTCTATTTCAGAAATAGAAATTTTGTGTCATTATCAAATGCGTATTTGGCAAAGAAACTCGTCCATGAAATAGAAATAGAAAAATCTATTTCTGGCCAAAAATTGATTTATAGAATAGAATGGTTATCATTCGCACCTTAGGTTCTGATTTATCAAGTACCTACAAGACTTGCTTAAGCGTTTATGGTATTTGACTTAAATTTCCGTGTCTTTTTTCGCTTTTTTTAATCACATAATCTACAAACAGATAGTCGGTTCGAAACAACCAACACAAGTATTGACTGATCCCATGACTGTCTTGTGTTATAAACTACACTAAAACGAGGGAGAACTCTGATCCGTGACAAGAATCCCACTTCGGAGGGTAGGTCCCTGCAAAGTGATAGCCACCGACATTGGCGAGAGAAAATCTACACGCTATGTGTAGGGAAATGTATACACTTTGGATTCATTTGTAAGGCCCTATTCTTGATTCCTTCGAGACATGAATGTCAGTTAAACATTAGCGGATCATCTTCTTTGCAATTCATCGCCTAAATTGGTCTAAGGAGATAATTTTTGTCCAAAAACGTAATAGGATTATTTGAAACTGACATATTGCGCCATTTGTATCTAAATTTGCCAATTGGTATTCTATGTTGAAACGTTCCTGTCAATACAAGTTCTATTTAATCAATTGATCCCACTAAATTGTTATTGTAACTCCGCCATTGCTCAAATGGATCGGGTCGGGTCATTACATAAGACGGTATTATAAGACTCTTCAAACTTAAAAAGGAACCATTCACTTCGAGTTTTTTTCTTTTTGGCGTTTATATCACGTTAGTCCATAACCTAACCATTGTCAATTGATTGCATGAAGGCGACTCATTCGCTAGGGAACAAAACGAGTCATGTTACTACAAATTGCCGTGATATATGGGGAAGGATGGCTTATCAACTTGGTGGGCATGGCTAAGATTTGACTTCAAAGAGCTCCTACTCAAATAACTTCTCCATCGAAGCATCTCCATACAAATTGCAATCAAACCTGTTCATACTCCTGAAAATTCCTTCTCAGTAACCTTCTTACTTGCTTCAGGTATCCATTAAGATTTCACCTCAAGTACTATGGAGCCTCACAAAGTGTCTTCCCTTCAGTTCTCATCATCATGTCGTCTCTTCTTCACATGTGCAGTGCTTTTGCCATGCATTAGCCTAGTCTCTTCAGCAAATAACAAAACAGACAAGCTCGCGTTACTTGCATTCAAGGCTGCTATAACTGAGGACCCTCTCGGGGCCCTGAATTCATGGAACCATACCACCGACCACTGTGGGTGGTACGGTGTCACATGCGGTCGCCTGCACAGCAGAGTCACGGGACTAGACCTACAACACCTGAAGCTTTCGGGATCCATCTCCCCTCACATTGGAAACTTGAGCTTCTTGAGATTCTTGATGCTCAACAACAATAGTTTCAATCACGAAATCCCGCAACAAGTGAGTCATTTGCACAGTTTACGTATCTTGCAATTATTTGTCAACGCATTGGAAGGTGAAATCCCGAGAAACTTGTCGGGTTGTGCTCGCCTGACACTGCTCCGCCTAGGTCACAACCGGCTGGTTGGAGAAATTCCCGTCGAGGTCGGTTCTTTGCTGGAGCTTGAGGGTTTATCTTTTGCCTGGAACTATCTAACGGGAACTGTTCCTTCATACATCGGAAACATGCCATCGTTACAGGCTCTCAGTCTGGCTGGCAATGAGTTAGGTGGGAAGATACCCCGAGTTCTTGGAAAGCTAACCAAACTAAAAAAGCTTGGTTTAGGACCAAATAGGTTGTCTGGCACGATTCCTCCATCTATCTTCAATCTTTCTCTAACGGTGTTCGACATCGGTGGAAACCACATAGGAGGGAATCTTCCTGCCAATATAGGGTTCGCTTTTCCAAACATCGAGATTTTCACCATTTCCTCTAACCGATTTTCTGGAGCGATTCCTCGGTCAATGTCTAATGCAACCGCTTTGTTGTGGCTACAAGTCAATGAGAACCAACTGTCAGGGAACATGCCTCCTTTGGACCGCTTAAACAAGCTCAAAATATTGCTTATCGGTTCTAATTATCTGGGAAGCGGAGGATACGGTGATTCGAGCTTCTTTTGCTCGTTGACTAACTCCACCAGTCTATTGCGCTTGGATATACAAAGCAACAATTTTGGCGGGACGTTGCCCGAGTGCATCAGTAATTTCTCCGTTACTCTCTCAGAATTGTGGCTAGCCAAGAATCCACTGTTTGGCACAATTCCTCGAGCACTCGGAAATCTCGTCAACTTGGAAAGGTTGTTTTTGGACCACAGCAAATTTTCAGGTATTGTCCCCTCGGTTTTGGGAAATCTTCATAACCTAGTGGAACTGGATTTATCGCATAACAAGTTTTCTGGAGCAATCCCTTCTTCATTAGGAAAAGCTAGCACGACTCCATCTCGAACACAATAACTTTCACGGCCGCATTCCATCACGTCTATCGGAGTGCCGAAGTTTGGTGGAGCTTGATCTTTCTAGTAACAACTTAAATGGAACCATACCTCCAGAGTCCATAGGTCTCTCATCACTTTCTATACTTATGAACTTGTCTCGGAACCATCTCGTCGGTGTCCTACCTAAGGAAGTTGGGGAAATGAAGCTTTTGGCTCAATTGGATGTCTCTAGAAACATGTTAGAAGGCGACATTCCGGCCAGTCTTGGCAGTTGTGTTAGATTGGAAGTGCTCAAAATGCAGTAGAACTCTTTCCGAGGCTCCATTCCTTCATCTATTAGTATGTTGAGGAATGTCAAGGAGCTAGATCTTTCACACAATAATTTATCCGGTCAGATTCCGGAGTTTTTTGAGGCACTTTACTCTTTGGAGATCCTGAATTTGTCGTACAATAACTTTGATGGCATGTTATTAACTAGAGGAATATTTAATAATGTCAGCGCTACTTTTATCTTTGGAAACGACAAGCTTTGCGGAGGAATGCCCGAATTTCATCTCCCGAAATGCAGCTCTAGAAACTCAGGCCGAAGACTAATCCCTAAGTGGAAGCTCGCCATCTCGATTTTCTTCGGGGTTCTTGGAATAACTCTTGTTCTTGCTCTTATGTACTTTGGTTGGTTGAAGATGAAGAAAAGGACAGAACCAGCTTCAAGTTCCAAAGATGATTCATCACTGAATCTATCTTACAGAATTCTTTTTAAAGCAACCAGTGGGTTTTCTTCAACTAACTTGATTGGGGTTGGCGCCTTTGGATCTGTTTACAAGGGAGTCCTCGATGAAAATGGAGCTGTCATTGCTGTGAAGGCACTTAATTTGACGCTTCATGGTACTGTGAAGAGCTTCATATCCGAGTGTGAGGCTTTAAGGAATGTCCGACACCGTAATCTTTTGAAAGTCCTAACAGTATGCTCGGGCACTGATTACAGGGGCAATGAGTTTAAGGCCTTGGTTTATGAGTTCATGGTCAATGGTAGCCTTGAAGATTGGCTACATCCAAGTCCATCATCAGCTAATGTAGATGGGAGTGCGCATAAATTGAGTCTCATCCAGAGGATAAATATTTCCATCGATGTTGCTTCAGCATTAGATTATCTTCATAACCACCTTCAAAACCCTGTTATCCATTGTGATCTGAAGCCAAGTAACGTCCTGCTAGATGGTGAAATGGTTGGACATGTTGGAGACTTTGGTTTGGCGAAGGTCGTGAATGAATCGACCCACAACACTAAAGCTAAAATGAGCTCTGCGGGTGTAAGAGGAACTGTGGGCTATGCTGCTCCAGGTGAGTCTCCTCTCCTCTGTACCCTAAAGTAAAACGGACAAATTATATTCTAATAATGTCCAAGTGTTTGCGTGCTATTTCCTTTTCCCTCTGCCGCTTGTGCTGCAATTATTTATCTTTTATTTGCAATTCGAATGAAGCGCAGAATACGGAATGGAAAGCATTGTTTTAAGAGAAGGCTATGTTTATAGTTATGGCATTCTCTTGCTTGAGATGTTCACAGGCATGAGTCCAACAAATGAAATGTTCAGAGAAAATTTTAACCTTCATAAGTTCGTTGAGGAAGCCTTGCCTGAACAACTCCTAGAGATTACCGATCCTCTTCTACTTCAAGAAATGGAGAGCCATATAGGCACTGGCCGAGGTAATGCAGCTCGCGAATGTCTGGAGATGGTCTATAGAATCGGGGTTGCCTGCTCAGTCCAAGCACGCAGAGAGCGCACGAACATTGCGATAGTCGCAGCTCAGCTGCATTTTATCGGGGATAAACTTCATGCAGCCGGTTTACAAGGATAGGTAATGTACAAGATAAATGGCTTTTGTGCTTTTTATTTTCCCTTGAACGACCAGATCATTGCCATATATGCACCGATAAGCACGCATTCATGTGCCTGCTTATGTGAATAAACTCAAAAATGCACACACGATTCCTCAATTTTCTGGTTTTGTGTGAATCAAAAAGGCATGAATTGCCAACTGAATCACAGAAATGCACATTACAGAGATAGAGAATTCATCCTATAGAATAATTGTTAGAACTCCGAGGGCAGAATGAGGTTATTCTCGTGATCAAAGCAGTTGACAGGCTAATCATAACCCTCCATCCCTTAAAAATGTTCGGCATATGCATTCGCAGTTGCACCAAATTCGTTGGATTGAGGACATTTATGTAGCTTTAATTAAGAGTATGCTTAAAACTATCACCTTTGCTGAAAAAATGAATCTACATCTCTCTTCCAGGTTATATGAAGTCGGGAGTGCTTGGAGTCGGTTTCTGCAATTTCAGTAGGATGTTTTCTTCTCCCATGCTTAGCACTAGAAAAAGGGGATGCATGCTATGTTAGTATAATAGATTTAGGGAAGGCGACGGTTCTCCGATCTTGGCCACGGTTCAAAATGAGAACTCAATCTTGTCTGTTATTCAATAAAACTCGGATTTGGCTCAATTGTTGCAAGAACTGCAAGTAGCTCTTTTAATTTGATGACGACTCGATGCATTCATTCTTTCGCAAACCTTTTCATGTACGAGTCATCCGTGGGGCAGAGCAGGAATTTGAGAAGCAAATCAAATAATCCTATCTGGCTGTTGAAATCGTATTTCTCGTGCGTGGACAGGATTTCGCTACTTCAGCCACCGTGAACAATTTGTCCAAGCAGACCAACTATTTTTTACATGTAATGCAAGTTCCAAACCGTTCCTGTGAACATAGAATCAGAGCAAGCTCTTAAGTGAGCTGTGAAGTGCCTCTTTTGAGATTGTTATAACTCTCTGGGCCATTGGTGTGGCAATAATTAAAAGTTTTTAATTAATTGCATTGTCTTTTTATTAGACGTTTTTCGGTAAGAACTTGCTTTCTGCCGTCTGAAACAATTTATTTTCATGGAAACGATAAAAATTTGAGAAAACGTAGTTGATTGTATACTTGTGTTCTATTCTATACAACCTCAAATTAATTATCATTGATCCTATTATAATCTGTTATTCACACGGTTTACACAAAACAAGGCCAGATATGTATGACTTTATCTAAACACCTTGTGATGATCAAATATTATAATCATACTTGATCATCCTCTGTAACCTCAAATTGATTTACACTGATCAATAAGTTATATTCTTAAATGGAAATAATGAGTACTATGAGCCCTTTCGAGAAAATTTTGATGATCATTCATTAGTTGCAAAAACAAGCACAACCAAAAGGAATTGATTACCCGTTTCTTCTCATTGAGGCAACATTTCCAGTGTTTCTGATGTCACAGCTTATCTCGTAGGCTTGCAAGAACTTGCACCCGCTACTTGTCTTACTTTTTAAGGAATTATAAAGTGATAAAGAAAAATAGAAGTATGACCAACAGTCCTCTAATCCAACAAGCTACATCTCAAGAAAAATAATAAAGAAAAACCAAGTGCGCATCTGTCCACACAGAGAGAGATACCTTAATAGAGATGACAAAGTGACCTCCAGCCTTGAGAAAATATGATGCATTTAGAGCCAAAATTCTTGCCTGAGATGTAACCACATATCATTGAACATCACATGTTAACGAGAGACATCTTCTAGCAAAGCACTCTAAACAGGTAGAAAAGTTATCCAAATAACAGATTAAAGACCTTGCATTTCTCTCCCTCTGACGTATAATGAACACACTTCATTACACACAGCTTAAGTCTGGTGTAATGAGTGCTTCAATAAGTCATGCAAGTGTTTTTTCTTTTTTCTGGTCAGCCAAGTGTAATGATGCAAGTCATGCAAGTGTTTTAATAGTCAGTATTCAATTGATAAACAGTCAAATGCAGAGACACTTCCACGAGTATTATCACAGCAACTTTTATCATATGTACACGCAAAAAGACCATTCGGGTGATCAGAGAGACATATCACGTGCATCCAACACCACTTCATAATAAGTCAAGTTGTTGCACACACTAGATCAAAAATAATAACAAGAGCACGTGCAATCTGACAAGACGTGCGAATTTATAATTTAGCATATGCTTGAGTAATTATTAAATTAAGATCCACTAGCCCAAAGCCGTAAAGACAACATAATGTACACGACCATATGCTATAATCTGGAGGGCAGGTTAACCTTATCGACAAAGTTTGAAATGGTAACCTAAATCAGCAATTGGTCATAAGGACAATTGCATGAATAAGGACCTCACCAGACTAAAAAATTTGGGAAGCCGCACATTGTAGTTGCTGATGGTAACACTAAATTGTCATGCACACTAGTTGAACAAACCTGATTTTCATAAATCCTTAAGCTTCATACAACAGAAACAATTTGAAAGGCTACAAACCATGCATCAGAAACTCGAAAATGCATCACCCAAACTGTCTTGAAGGGGAATCCGAATATTTCACCAAATGCTTTGTAATAATTGAGTACAGGGAATACTCATGGAGTTTGCCGGCCTGAAGGAATGTGATAAACTTATCTTTAAGGAAAAGGAAAGGAAAAAAAGATTCAACTATATTCTCAAATCTCTCAAAGTAAATCAAATCAGAACTAAAGAAAACAAAAAAATTTATGGAGTGAACCAAGCAGATATCCATCAGAAAACTCGAGCTTGCATCACCCATGCTGTCTTGAAGGGGAATCCGAGTAAATTCTTCATGTGCATAAGTTTCCTTCTTGGTGAAAACAGAAAACACAATACAGTTCTGGGGCAAATTTGTATAAGAAAACTGTAGTTACAGGATATACAGATATATATAAGAAAAGGTAAATCACAAAACCAAGAAGTTAATCCCCAAATAACAAGTCATCCCGCCCATACAAATTTAAGCCCCACAGATACACGAGGGAAACAAAAATCCATGGCATGAATATAGCCTACAAAGATGAAACAAATCATGAAAATATCACAAATAAAAATGAAGGCTGCAAAGAAGCATTGATTTTGTTATCAGAAATAAAAAGTTGACAATTCATGGAATCTGCTTCCAAAGGAGCAAAAGGTAAAAAATCTCCATTTTCATAAAAGAAGAAAAATCTAAATAGAGAAATAAGTTGCTACGAGCATATAACAAAACCATGCAGTAACTCAAACAGAAATAGAGGAGGGATGCATTATATAGGATTTCCTTTTCAGTGGTCCAGAGGCAAGATTAAGTCCTGGACCTACACTTTGGCAAGGAAGACCTTCATAAGAATTTATTCAATTTCTTTCATAGGCAAAGACGAGTTAATACCTGATCTGGCTGAGCAACATCTGAAAATATTACATCTACCATTCCGACCAACATACGGTACTTGGCTGGATGTCTAGCATCTTCGATAATAGGAATAACATTTGTTCTCTTCTTAGCCATGTTGACTAAGTCCCTTCCACTGTGATGTGAAAACTCAACTGCACACACCACTCCTGTCTGCCAAAAGGAACACATGACAACAAGTCAGTCGTCTGATGAAGTCATTTGGTAAAAGAATCATTCTTCCAAAACAAACGACCTACAGGGCCAACAATGTCGGAAACATGAGATACTGTGGTCCCAGAAGCAGCTCCCAGATAGAGAACTCAGAGCGCCAGGTTTCTGAATTTGAAAAAAATGAAACTTGATCAGTGATATGGAAGAAGCCACACATCTACAATACACCAGAGAAAAAGGAAGAGAGATGCTCACAATCCATATCTCATCAACCCCACCAAGAATGGCAGCTGCCAACTTTGATCGGAAGGGGTTCCACACTCTATATTCCACTTTACTTCCATCTTCATTCTAACAAGAGATAAAAAACACAAAGAAATACAGCTTAGTTACATTTCTAGGGAAATGAAAACAAAGAAGCTTTCAAATTTAACATGAGAATGATAGTCAAAGAATGTAAGGGAGGTCGACATTATTAAGCTCCTAAAACGGGAAGATCTAAACAGTAGAAAATTGCATTTGTATCAACAAAGTTTACTAGTAGAAAACTCTTTGCTTATAGCCCTGGCAAAAGGAACCTCACACAAATCAAAGAATCAACTCCAAGCCAGATGCTCCTTTACTAATCAAATTCGGGTAGCATAAGTACAGATAGCAAAAAAATATTTGCATTCTTAGAACCGTTAGTAAAAGTCTAAAAAACCAGTTGATCCTAGATAAGCAAGTTGTTCACCATTTTTTTTTAAATTCTATTTTGAGATGAATTGGGAGCTTATCAGTTCTAGTATTTGAAAAACCAATTAAATCAGTGCAAAATGCCTAGCAATCACTAGCAAGATGAATAAAAAAGCATATTCACCTGCACAGAGATTCTCTTCTCGTTGTAGACGGCCTCTCCAGGGACCATATTCTTTGTAACAAGAGCATCTTCTTTGTCCTTAGCAATGAACACCCCCTCATGTCTATGAGGTTCAACCACAACTCTGCTTCCACCTTTCATTCCACCTCTACCGCCACAGCGTCCTCTTCCACCACAGCCGCCACCGCGTCCACCACCATGCCCTCTCATGGTACCACCTCTGTCACCACCGCCTCTCCCTCTTCCTCTCCCTCCATCACCCCTTCCCCCCCTAAATCCGCCGCCACCCCCACGACCTGCAAATGACCAAACAAGACCATTTGTCAAGCAATAAATAAGCACTCCAATACCCCGTTAAGGGTCTCCAAGTAGAGTTAAAAATATAACATCCTGAGACACTACCTCATGGAACTGGCTCACACGAGTGTAAATTAACATAAAATCTCAAAAAAAGACAACCCCAGCTCATCCCCGAAGCAGAAAACAATAACCCCACACTTTTCTTCCACTACCAAGAATCACAGAGCGCAAGCAGTACCAGTATCCCACAAACTTCTACAGCAGCAAACCGTAACCAAAACTTAGTATCATCCTCGGTCGCTGAAAACAGCTCAAGAACTGACCCATGCCCATGATTTTCAAGTGAGACCAGGACCAAAAGGGCAAGAAAAGAAAAGCATCCACCGACCACCCAAAGCTGAACTCCTCTTTCCCTCCATTTCCCACACGGTCGCCGCAAGAAGGGACAAGGCGAAGAGTTACCTCTCTGAGGCGGCCTCATCTTGGTGATGGCTTGCGAGAGGCTAAGGAGAGCTGCTGGTATCTGCTGAGAGGTAGATTGACTGAGGAAGAAGAGAGTGAAAGCTGCAGATTACACCCTGAGAGGTACGGTGAAGGAGAAGGAGAAGGAGAAGGGAAGACAGGGCTTTACAAGGAGGAGGCTTTATAGTAAAACGGTGGGCTATTTTCACTCTGCGTAATTAAATTCGCACATTTTTAATTGTCCTCGATAATAAAATAAATTGTACTCGATAATTTAATTACAATTTAAAGTGTCTAAATATATTTAGTTTCCACTTTTTTTAGTTTTTCTATTTTTAAGTAAAATCTAGTTGTTGTAATTATTAATACAACACCTTTTGTTTTTTTCTTTTTGTTGTGGATATCTCATTTATATTAAACTCACTATATTTTCTTTTGGGATAATGACACAAATAGTTCCTGAACTTTAACCTAATGTGCAATGTGGTCCGTGAACTTTTAATTTATTCAATGTAATCCTTGAATTTTAGTCTAATGTTCAATGTCGTCCATAAACTTTCAATATAGTTCTTAAACTTTTAGCAAATATTCAATGTACTTCAGGAGATGATCGGACCTCTTGAAAGATTTTTCAAAATAAAATCAGTGACATTTGCCAAAGTGAAACTTTAGAACATGAAATTAATTAAATGAAAGTTCTACACAAAATAACATATGTTTTAATTGTCAATGAAATTTCATTAATTTCATATTGATAAAAATTAATATTATTCACGTAGTGTTTATGAAAAAAATATCAATATGCCTTAATGTGTATTACCTTTTCACGTCAGATTTTTTAGTGTACTTCGAAATACTCCTATAATGTCTCGCGTGCTTAAAAATGTCTCACAAATATTAAAGAAAAAACTCAAATTCCTTGATATAGTAAATAAAGAGACTTGATATTTTTTTTGTACTAATGAAATTAAAAAAAAATCACCAGGAAAAGTGAGCTAGTGAGATGGAAGAGATGAAGAATAGATTATTTGCAATAAGAGTAATGATCAATAAGAAACTAGTTTTTTATTTTCAAAATGGCAATAAGTTTAAATTTGATGGGAAATCGTAAAAGGAAAATAACTAGGTTAAAGACACCTGTGCAAATATGAAAACCATTACAGTCGATTTTGTCTATCTAGTAAAAAAGGAGTAGGTATAGTCATAAAGGATGGAAATAGCCCAAAAGAACTTTTATCCACATTTATTACACCCTCCACATGAAAATTCTAAAATTCTGATTTTATCCTTATATTATCTGACCTTATTTTGTCTAAACAGCAACCAAATACCAAATAAATTAAAATTTATTCAATCTCGACTACCATCCTGATCACTAGATATAGTTGATTAAGTATTCTGCTAATAAGAGTTTGTGGAGATCCTTCAAAGTGTTTGGCAAAAAGACGAAAGTTTTTAATTAAATGCATTAACTTTTCATTAAGAAAATTTCCATTTAGAATTTCCCTTTGTCCTATGAAAACAATTTATTTGGATGTAAAAAAAAAACAATCTAAAAAAAATTAAGTTGTCCTTTTCTATATAAATTACTAATTGATTATAGTTGAACCTAATATATTTGGGCCAGCAGGCCCAATAGCATATAACCCTCTTCCAATATTTTGAATCGATGGCGCCACAAAACTCGAGCGCGAACAGAAGCCAAGAATGGAGTGGAGCTCAAAGGCAGAACACTGAAATAGCCGAAGGATTCTAGTCTCAAAGCGCAAATGAGCTCCAAAGATTCTGCATTCCAAGTGTTCGGGCAGCGTTCGATCAAGTCGTCGGCCCTCTTTCGATCTTCGAACCCGTAAGATTAGTCCATCATGTACATACCTTTCTTGATCCTTCAAAACTGCTGTGCTGTTGATGTTGATGTATCTCTCTGGGCGTTCCTTTTCTTGGGTTCTTTCTTGTTGGGTCGTGAGATCAGAGGCAAGGACGCCAAGGAGGATGCGAACAGAGACCGGAAAGCGGGCCCGACGCGCATCTCTCTGTCCGAGTTTCTCGATCAGAAACTGCGAAGGACCTCTGCTTCGCCGGGCATGATTCGGGTACTGTTTGTCTCCGACCTTGTGTTTGGCTGCCAAGAAAGTGAAGGAAAATCTGAAGTCCCGTCATATTCTACTTGGGCATCGGGTTATGGCGATGCCATATTGGGAGTGATGAACTAATTGTCTAGTCTGTGTGGACAGTGCAGATGTACCCTTTGTTTCCCTGACATATAGTTATAAGAACCTGAAGTTCGTTTGACTGTGTTGATTGTAGAAACCAATCACAGCCCAACCTTGCGATAATTTAGTCTCTCTTTTTAGGTGTGTAGGAGGGTTCATTTTCTTTTTCTTTTACCCTTCAATTTCGTGTCGAATTTGCAGAAAAAATGCGTGCATGCCTAGTCTGGGACAATATCTTCTTTGCAATAGCTTAACTTATTTATGAGAAATTACCATACAAGAATAACATGAGGCATTTGTCTGGATATGAATTGTTCTCCCACTCATTTTAGTCAGGTAATTTTCATTTCGGGCTAGACCCATTTGGTTCAAGTACATGCTCCTTTCCACTTGATCATTTTCAGTGGCCTGAATAATCAATTGATTGAGAGAGGGAAGCTCTTTCCTTGGCAGGGCAAGGCAAAGCCGTTTTCGACGCTCCTAGGCACTAGAGATGCGAATGAGTTGGGCAATTCACGAGACTGCAAAGAGAAAGCGTTGGTAGAAAAGAAGTGCAGTGTCGATAAAGCCGTCTTTGAGCAGTTCAAGCTTACTTGTAAAGAAAGTGGAGAAGATCGTAATGTTGCAACCGGCTCCGATAAGGTCGGAGACTTTGTAGAAGTTGTTGAAGGGAGGGAGTCCAGAAAGAGAAGGAACCCTTTCGAAGGTTGGTGCTTTAAGTTTAATCTCAGTTCTCACCCTTTAAACCTCGGTACTGTCAATCGTTTTCACTATGTTTTTGGGTGATTGATGCAACAAATGATAGCAAAAGATTGGTCATCTATCTCTAGATTTGGCTCTTCAAGCGTGAGTCTAGTCTAGCATGAAGGAACCCTTTCGAAGGTTGGTGCTTCAAGTTTAAGTTCAGTTCTCACCCTTTAAACCTTGGTACTGTCAGTCGTTTTCACTATGTTTTTGGGTGATCTGATGCAACAAATGATAGCAAAAGATTGGTCCGTAATCTCTAGATTTGGCTCTTTAAGCATGAGTCTAGTCTAGCATTAAGGAACCCTTTCGAAGGTTGGTGCTTCAAGTTTAAGATTTGTTTTCACCCTTTAAACCTTGGTACTGTCAGTCGTTTTCACTATGTTTTTGGGTGATCTGATGCAACAAATGATAGCAAAAGATTGGCCCTTTATCTCAATTTTTGGCTCTTCAAGCATGAGTCTAGTCTAGCATTAAGGCCTCCACGTTTATCTATAGGATTAACAACTCATAAAATCACCATCAGCAGGCATGTGAAATAAGCTCTTGTAATTGAAGATAATAAGTTGAGAGGGCAATGAAAGATAGTGATTAAGCAAGTCTATGAATGATTAGATAAAATTAACCTACCTATCTGAGGTTGCAATCAAACCAAAACTCTTTCTGGGCACATGTGCCGAAAAAGATGGGCTTTTAAGCCCCCGTGTTCCTCAGTTTTCAACAGATAGAGCTCCTCTATACTGGGAAAAGTATGATGCAAAACCTTGAATAGAGCATGAAAGCTGCATAATCAGCTTAAACGACATGTCATAGTCACGGGGATCACTAGAACATTCCTGGAAGAGCAACACTGGAACTCCATCTTGGTTTTTCAATGGTTTCACATCCACAATCGCTGATTGTTAGCGGCTTGGTTGATCCTATCTTGCACACGCAAGTGAATTCTGAATCTACGACAACGGTTTTAGCTTGTTTGGCTAGACATAAATATCATGCCAATCTAGTAAGTCTTTGAAATCATAAGATACAACTTTGACGATATGGCCACTGGATTTTTGAACCTAGATGGTAAATTTCGCACTTATTTTCCCTCTTTCGTTACCATGTGGTATTTCTTGGAATAAAGACATTGCTCGGTGAATGACCCAGATGAATACTCAGAAAGCATGATGCAATGAACTTTGCAAGCAAGCCTTACCTTAATACACATGATGACATCTTACAATGCCCTGATCCCATCTGTGTACGCTTCATACTGTTCAAAATATACACATAAATTACTCCATGTATACTTGCAAGGCGGAATTGTTGCTCCTCTGAAGCGTGTTGTAGTTCTGGGACAAGCTCCAAGTCCCGAGCAGCAAAGGAAGGCAGAGAGTATTAGCCGGAACGAGAAAAGAAGGCCTCTCTATAACCACTGTAAGTCTTTAAACTCTCCTGCCAATGAAAGCATCGAAACCATGTCATCCCAAGATGGCTCTAGTTCTCTGAAGTTCTCTTTAAACGGAATCGAAAACTTTTTCCGGCGAAAATGCAGAAGTGTGGCCATGACTAACTTGATCAGGTAAATTGTTTGCTTCATGTTCTCTGCTGCCAGATGCAAATGGTGGAGGCTTTTGGGACAGTGGAATGGAGGGCTTTGAGAGCGAGGAGGTGGGGCAGAGCGAAGTGTGGGAAGGGGTGGGATCTACCACAATAGGTGGCATAGATTGGCACTGAACTGAAAGCTGTTGATTATGTTTTTGATCTTGTTAATCTGCAATGCCTTCAGTTCTCTCTCTCTTCTTCTTTTTTTGGGTCGTGATGTGACCTTCATTAGCATGTCAAGCATGCTTGAGTCCTTATTTGGTTAATGCAGATTAATATAATGTGTTGGAAAATGAAGATTGAATATGAAAACGTGGAATTTGACCGTTTGATTGTACGCGTAAGAAGCCAACTTGAGCACTTAACGCACACTATCGGTATTAGGTTGGACATCAGCAATTTCCATTAGTATATTTAACAAAGGGATGATAGTGAACCAAATTTGGAAAGTTTAAGTGTTAAATTGGACAAGAAAAGATTTAGAGGATATATTGGACATCGAACAAAAGTTTAGGACTACATGACATCAATAATAATTCGTCATGGACAACTTCAGGGATGTTAAGTGCAAAGTAAAAGTGAAGTTGGTAAAGAATTCATGAAACCTTATGATTTCTTAATGTCAAGTTGAACAATATGTGAAATGCACTATCGGTCTGCTCTCAGGTTGAGCAATGAGAGTCGGAGAAGGGTAGTCGCTCAGTCTCTAAGTTGGCATTCTTAAGACTAAAGAGTCGGGCAGAAAAGTAAAAGAACTATTCGTTCACGATCCTTCAGTAGTTGTCATACATGTCATAAACATATCTTCTAGAACACTGCATAATCACCATCTCGTCACTAACACGAACCCTCTTAACGATGTCAGATGACACCATCAATTGCCCCATCAGAACCAAAAACATGACACCATTCTTGGCCACTACCCTGGATACCGCTGCCGCCCTCGATGCCTTCTCTTTAAAATAGAATTTATGTGCTTAAGATCGGACGACTTCATATCGTAAAAACTTTAAAGACTCCACAAGTAACTAGTAAAAATATGAAGACATCCTGGGACGGTGGCGGCAATACAGTTCGACCACCGGCGAGGATCCAACGTCCCTCCCTAAGCTCTTGGGGAAGCAGTTGCAGATCGCTACGTAAATGAACGACAATTTCTCAATCGGAAAAAAAAGAAGGGAAAATGACACAAACAGTCCCTGAACTTTGATCCAATATACCAGAGAATAAATTGAACACGTACCAAAAGTCTATGGACCATATTGAACAAATTAAAAGTTCAGAGATCACATTTAATATTAGGATAAAGTTCATGGACTACATTGAACAAATTAAAAATTTGGAGACCAAATTGTATATTGAGTCAAAGTTTAGGGACTGCCTGTGTCATTTTCCCCAAAAAAAAAAAAAGAGCCTGGAGACCACGTTGACGAACGGATACGGTGGCGTTTCGACATCATGGCCAGAAGTCTTCAGAGCAGCTAAACGCCGTCGTTTCGCTCGTTCGGTAAAACCGGAACGTCTTTCACCTCGCTGCTTCCGTAGACTCCGCGCAGAAGGAGCTGATCTCCGGCGTCTTCCCCTCCTCATAGCCGCCGCCGCCGCCGCCATGTGGCGGAGCTCTCTGAGTTTCTCTTCCGCGAGAAAGCTTCTCTCATCGTCATCGTCGTCGTCGTCTTCTTCAACCCATCACTCATTCTACAGCGTCGCCACTCGGCCACTCCAGTCCCTCTCCGCCGCGGCGCCGCCGTCGCATCCGAACCCGCCGGTTGCGGCGACGTCAGGGGTAGGGCTTATCGGCAGAGCCGATGGGGTCAGGGGCTTTGCCTCCTCTTCTCCCGCTGCCGTCGCTGCCGCTGCCGCTGCCTTCGACGTCTCTGCCCTCGCTTCCTCGAGGGCGAGGGACGCGGTGGACTTGGCCCGTCACTACGGGCGGTGCTATTGGGAGCTGTCGAAGGCTCGCCTTAGGTGAAGCTTCCATTAGCTCTTTCTGGGTTTTTTTGATTCGGGGAATTTGCGATCTGGGTTTGCTTTTCTGATCAATTCAGTGAAGATGTTCTTGATTTGCTATTTCGATTGTTGGTTTTCGAAATTCGGTAGCTTGAACGACTTGCGTGGGCTGCCGTTGACTTGATGACTGCCCTGGGTGGTTCTCTGCATTTTCTTTGGCTGCTGGCTTCCACTTTGACCAAAACCACGGCACAGATTTTATGGACGAAAACCGTCGTCTTCATGCTTTTGTTTGACGTTTTGAAAATTTGTGATCTGTTATGCTGGGATCCTATGTTGCAAGCTACTGCTGCGGAACATTTAAGGATGTATGTGTGCTTGAGAATGCACTAAATTTGATTTACTATTTGTTCCTGGGTGTAAGCTATATCTGGAAAAATAATGACAAAAGCAGTGAATACTCATCCATACAAGCTAAGTGAACAAAATCATGTCGATTGTCTGCTAGTAATGATAACTCTTGCCGCCAATTTAGTTATGGGGGCCTATGAATTTTCTTGTCTAGGAGGTCGCTCAAATCATGGTGCAATCTATACCAGCTGACATTTCAATCTACTTCCACAGTCAGTACTCTATCATCTCGCAGTCTTCACTTCATTCATTTGGACCTCTTTATTTTAGCTGCAATGCTTGACTTTAAATTGTATACAAAGACAATCCTGCATGTATTAGCTCAGCTGGTGACCGACAATTTGCCTTTGTGGAGTTTTCATTTTTTCCAGCTACATATGCTGGTCTTGTCATTCTATTTAGAGTCCTTCAACAGCTTATATCTGGAATCATCCAAACTACTTCACAAAGCATACACTGTTCCTTGAGAAATGGTTCCACTTAAGCTATATCTATATCATATCAAACTTTTGTGTTTGCCAACCAACCCATAAGGTAGTGCTTGGATGCTTATTCCCTTGCACGGTTCTCAAAGCATTTGATTCACACTGATAGAGCAGATAGAATCTCTGATGACACAGAAAGAACCTATTTACTAGTTACGTTTGATTGATATCTCCCTGGACATGCTAAATGGGGGTAGTTAGTTTAGAGCATAGACTGGTTTCATATTAGTCAAAAACCGTTCTCGTTGTGCTCAGAACTAAAATTTCTCTCTCTCTCTCTCTCTCTCTCTCTCTCTCTCTCTCTCTCTCTCTCTCTCTCTAGTTTGTTAGTTGTTGCTACCTCTGGAACCGGGTTTGTTCTTGGGAGTGGGAGTGCGGTTGACATTCCAGGGCTTTGTTGGACTTGCGGTGGCACCATGATGGTCGCAGCTGCTGCAAACTCCTTGAATCAGGTAGGTATTTCAATAGAATTCTCATTGCTGTGATAATTGGCTCTCTGCGATTTTAGTGAACTGTTTTTTTTTGTCGTTAGTGAACTGTTGAGTGGATACTTTTTCTGGTTAACTGATGATTTAGTATGGGGCGTTTATCTCGCATCTCCTCTTAGACAAGAGTGTGTCCCTGAAAGTGGACATTTAGCATTTCATTGAAACTTCACATTGTTATGTATAATGAGATTATAGGTTTGATGTCTATAGTTTAATGAGAGATTTTTGTATCAGCCCATGGTCTCCTTATGCATAAACCTCAGGGTATTGGAAAAGGTACAACAAGACTAAAACCTGTTTAGAAGATAATTCAATCAAACTCCAAAAAGCCCTATCAAAGAACCAAGCATGTTGCGTGTATCATCTGATCTGAAATTACTCACCACAAGACTTTTTCTTCATTGCTAGTCTGTTCGTGCATCACCGTTTCTTATAACTAAGCCATTCACGAATGTAAACATAACCGAATTTCTTTGGATGGATCATTAGTACATAAAGTCCCTCTCTTTCATTTTTCCCTCCCCAAAAAAAAACACCCTAGAAATAAAACCTCGGTGTGGTAATATATATGAACAAAGTTCCCTTGCTGATGAGATCCCTCTAAACCGTGAATAAAATCATGAACTGACTAGCCAATCACTCCAAGCGATAATTTCACCTAGTGCCTGGAACCCCGTTGTTCTTCCACATTTGGTAGCAAACGGCTTCTTTGAATGAAACTCTATATTTTAACTTGGGATCTACTTGGAGTGATTTTTGACGTTAAACTTTCTATTTTTTTAAGTCGTACGGTTTTCAGAATTTGACTTTTATTTAACTCGGAACACCTAAAATCTATATTCAAATCAACATGCTGGATCATCTATCATATTTTGATACTTTGTAAGATTAATTTTTTTGTTTTCAAATTTTCGGAGGAAAGTAAGTATTAGGGGAAAACACTTGTTTACTTTGGCAAACATGCCCTTGAATAGGAACAGAAGAGTAGTGGGTTTGTACTAGGACTGGGAATTAACTTGGGGAAAATCACAATTCACAAGTTAGCTCGCATTTGTTTCTTCTGGGCTTCTTTCTAGCTGAATGACCTTTTTAACTGAAATGAAGAACCCAAAAGATTGCCTTATGAGAGATGCCTAGTTTTACTGAAAGTCTTATGTTTACGAAGGCCGTATAGTCACCAATAAAACTGTTCAGAAAAGAAGGAACAAAAAGAAGCAGAACTGCATCATGAGGACTATTTGCATTATTATAGTTCCATGGAAGATAGTCTCTCACAGACATATCTTAGGAACCTGAACTATTGCAGTCAAAGAGATGCGAATTGTAACCACTGGGCTTTAAAAGCGTAGACTCTAATGAATTGATTTTATGTGCAACACCAATCTGGTATCATTTACTTCCAGGTCACTCTGCTGTTGATTGTTTGGAACAAATGTTTTTAAAGGGTGATAGGCAAAAAGTTAGGATGGTTACATGAGTATCCTATCATATTTAATCAAGTGAATGCATCTACGATGAGTGCTTTAGCATTGATATGGTGGTTCAACCTATTTATTATCAAATGCAAGTTAGGTTCAGAATCCAAATCAGCTATGTCATTAGGACATAAGATTCTAGGTAAACAGTAAATATCACACTCAATTGAAATTTTTGGCTAATCAACTAAATCAGTTATTTTGAACAAATTGACTGGTAACCAAAATTCAACAATTTCTTTTTTGATTTCTATTCCCATCCTCAATTAGAACCAATTTCATATTGAATTTAATTGATTTGCTATTTGATTCGCACAGTTCCATTCATGGATATTTTTATTCCAACAACCTTGCTTGTACTATCTAGTGGTCTCTATTGCCAATCAAGAAGGATCATACATTTTTTTAATTCCAACAACCTCACTTGTAATATCTAGTGGTCTTTATTGCCGATCAAGAAGGAAAGTAGTTGTCTTTTAAAGAGAAGATGATTTTTAGTTTTCTGTCCCTGATTAATGTCAGTTTATTGACTACTTTCCACTTTAAGTCAATATTAGGTTTTAAATTGTCATGAACTTAACAAGAGGATGAGAGGGGGAGGGAGGGAGTGAGGAAGGCAGAGAGTCAGAGTCAAAAGTCAACAATCCCTCTGTTGGGAGAGTAGTGCTAATTTGATTGAGAGAGTGAGGGATCGGCAGCTTCGCTCGCCCCCAAAGAGAGTACCTATTCACTATGTTCTGGTTCACTTAGTTGGAAGATAGAGTTGGCGCAACAAGGTATAAATGAAGGAGATAGATAGTTTGGTACTGTCGAGAGCCTAATTAGTTCTCTATTGGGGTTCCTTTTTTTTAATATGATGTGTAGAATGGTATAATCCGTCAGAAGAAAGTTTCTAATTCTATGTGCCTTGTTAATCAGGTCTTTGAGATAAACAATGATGCTAAAATGAAGAGAACAAAGCAAAGACCTCTACCTTCGGGGAGGATATCTGTACCTCATGCAGTTGCTTGGGCATCTTCTGTTGGTGTAGTTGGGACTGCACTATTGGCATATCAGGTGACCAAATTAATTACATAGTAGCTCTAGAAAAGTTACTTTAGACTCAGCAGTCGGGTATTGGGCATTTCTTTCACTTTGACATTTTATTTTGCTTGGAGGACTAATTTGACTATCCTGTTGACAAGGTTGTTTCAGACTAATGCATTGGCTGCGGGATTTGCTGCTTCCAATCTTATTCTTTATGCTTTTGTATACACACCACTGAAGCAGATTCACCCTGTAAATACTTGGGTTGGAGCTATTGTTGGTGCCATTCCACCCCTTCTTGGGTAATTTTATCTCTCAAGTCTCTTTGCCTTATCTATACAATTCTGTTGATCTGCTCACAGTGCTTTCGTTAATAAGTTTAAAAGTTATTTTTAATCTTAACACATTACATGCAAAAGATTCTCACCTAAAGGATCTTCATGCTGTGTGGACCATGGTGGTCATAGTCATAGGAAACTCCTATATGTGATTGGAGCTTGAATCTTGATCTCAGTTGGACTTAGACCTGACACTTGACTTTTGGTTATAATCAATGTTTTTAAAAATCCGATTGGACCAGTCCATCCAACAAGGGCAGGTCTGGACGCCTGAACTTGTAGCTTTAAAAAACCGGATCAAACTGGTGTTGACCTGATTCAATCTGGGTCACGCAGGGTAGTTGAATCAGGTAGTGGACTCACCAACAAAACTAAAGAAAAAGTCACCTCTGGAGGTTATTTTGACCGAGGATGTCAATGTTGAAGCTGCTATGCACGTACCTTTCTGGCCATGTGTTCCTTTAACCTTGAAAGAAACTAATTTCAGTTTATATTTATTCTGAAAAACACAATTGAAGTGGACAAAAAGGAGGCAGGAGTGATTTAACCAATGGATTTGTCACTCTTTAGGGCAGGGTCATATCCTCTGCCTTACTCAGCTTCCTCCTCATTTGTATTCGGTGGTCGAGAAAAGAAACTATTAAGAGCATCCCTCTAACAAAAACCTACAGATGGGTCCACATCGCCACTTCCGCACCTTATGGTCTTTGCTAAAATCATTATGAGCCCTCTTAATTTGAATTTGACCTCCATGGAACTGCTTGTGGCAATGTATAAACTTGTAAAGTGGGGTGGTATGGAAAGGACACTAAAAAGGGTGACAGTACAGAAGGTTTTTGAAAGTAAAAAGTTTAAGTCTCTTTAGGAATGAATGGTGAGAGGGAAGAAGAGAACGCGCCCGGGGGGTTGGTCAAACAGGGCTACTTAATCCAGTTTTTTGGACATTTTGATTAATATTTGACAGACAAGCAAGTAAGTTGTGCTTCCGATGGTGGTAACTAATAGGCCATTTCACTATCTTGGTTGTGTAGCCAAACTGAAACTGTGATTACAGTATTAGCCATCGAGAGGTTTTGAAGCGGAATTTGACCAATACTGCTAAGCTTCAAACTTCATAGTTTTATATGTTTCGACTTCTCGGTGTCCCTTCAAAAGAGGAGAAGAAGCCCTAAACCCTATGCCGCTAACTACATAGGGGCATATAATTGCAGCTAAAATTATCTTTGGTGTCTCTTCATATGAGAAGAAGATAACTAAACCCTATGCTGTTAACTACATAGGGGCATAAAGTTGCGGCTAGATAATCTTGTGTCCGAATGAATGGATTATCTGTATATATTTGGGCAGGGGGACAAGGTGCAGACATGAGCCTGAGATGAGTTGGAAGAGTCTGGAATGTTGGAATTTCTGGATTTTGAGAGGGCTATATTATATTCGACACATAATGTGTACTTTAGCATGAGTTAGTCTAATTCCTGAGCGTGAAGTCATTTGTGATTTTTGCTTTGGAGGATAGCGCAATATGTATGAGATGGATTTGACGGTGACAAAGAAATAATGTGCTGCCATTGGTGATTGGCTATTGGTGGTGATTAATTAGTTTCCCACCATCTGGTATTGATGAGATAAGATGAATAATATTTTTAATCAATAACATTTGGTCAGATATTATTTCTGTAATCACCTAAAACATCACCTTCTCATTGAACTCTCCTCCAAAACAAAAATAAAAATCATCAACGACTTGATCAAGAATTAAACTACTTTAAGGTGGATACTCAATGGTTTTTCTTCAATTGTTGAGTGGTGCTTAAAGTAAATGCTTAGTGGCCCCTCTTCGGTTGTTCTATAACGATGAAACTTTTAATTCTCTAAGTATTATTTGCAGCTATTTTGTATATTGTCATGTTTTGCATAGATATCAGATTATGCATTAAAGCTTTTGATTTTTTGGCATTTCAGTTGGGTTGCGGCTTCTGGTGAAATTTCTCTCAACTCGATAATTCTCCCGGCTGCTCTCTACTTCTGGCAAATACCCCATTTCATGGCTCTGGCACACTTGTGTCGCAATGATTATGCTGCTGGAGGGTATGTCCATGTTTCTGATAAATATTTGTGTGAAAATTTACAGTCATTTAACCATAGACATAAACTTTCTTGTCAGCATGATCTTTTTCAGTGCTTTAAGATTGTTGAGGTCGTGTGAACTTTGTTTTGAAACTTGTATTTCCAACCTTAATGGATACTGCGAAACATCTTAATTTTAGGTCTTTATGTAATTTTCTGCTTTACAGCTGAGTATTGGGTCTAGGTACCTTGTTGATTAAAAGCTTATTGTCTTTGCTGGCTTACTATCTCCTTTTTCCCTCACACATTAGGTTCAAAATGCTATCCCTTGGTGATGCTCTGGGGCAGAGAACTTCTTTAGTAGCTTTAAGGAACTGCCTCTATCTGGTTCCTTTGGGGTATTTAGCCTATGACTGTAAGTCCCTGAAACCTGAACCTTTTATACTTATGTATGAAATTTTGCACTCTTAGTTAAATTCTGTCAGATTGACTAATATATACCTTAAAGTCGGCCTTTGCTGCAATGTATTGACCTTTTATTGGACCTTTCCTTTATATCTAAGGTTTCCACTAATTAAGTGGTGGATGGGAACATATTTTCTTTTTAACTTTATTGACTTGTCCAGCTCAAGCCTATATTTATGTAAAAAATAAAACAGAATTCTGAATGTTTTGTGCTTCTTAACCCCCTTTCCCTTCCGGAAAGAAATGGAAAACCTTCTCAGCTTTGTTCCTTTCCGATGCTATAGTTCTCTTGTTTTCTTTTCTTTGCTTAGGTTTCATGAAACTTTCTTATTACTGTTTACTTGATTAAAGTTGTCTTTCTACCTCTTAATTTGACAGTGATTATGAATTGTGATTTGGACAAATTTGCTTGCTATTCTATGTGAATTAGCTGGACTAAATTGCTTATAATTAGGTGCATAAATGTTAGGTGGATTTATGGGATGTATCATTTATAATATATATATATATATATATATATATATATATATTTTTTTTTTTTTCCTTCAATCTCTTTGAGGTATTTTCTTTTTTCTTAAGAGCCTTCTCAGTTTCCTTTAGACTCTTGTGTATCTACCTGGAAGGAAATCTACTTTTCTTACAGCTCTAGTGCTGGCAACTTAATTTCTTTCTGCAGGGGGTTTGGCAACCGGGTGGTTCTGTCTGGAATCAACACTCCTTACGCTCGCTATAAGTGCTACAGCATTTTCGTTCTATCGGGACCGTACCATGCAGAAGGCGAGAAGAATGTTCCATGCGAGCCTCTTGTATCTTCCTGTATTTATGTCTGGCCTCCTCTTTCACCGTGTCTCGGATAATCATCAAGATCTCTCAGAGAGCCGCTCACTCAAATATAACGAGCTCTCATCTTCTCTGGAAACTCCATTAGAAGAAAATGGTTCTTCCAAGAGAAAAAAGAGTGCGAGGACACAAGCACGACCGCCGGTTGCATATGCATCTTATGCACCATTTCCTTTTCTACCTGCTCCTTCTTACACTGTCCCTCATTGAATCCGAGTCTTTCAATTTTAAAGTTTTTGCAAGAAAATCCTTGCTGTAAGTTTTTCAGATTTTGTCAAGGAAATGCACCCGTATACATGTCAATAATGTTGGGCGGGGGGATGAAATTCAAAATGGGTGGAGCCAGAGGCTGTTGATCATTTTTGTGGTGAGGGTGTGCACTTTCTGTTGTTGAATAATGATTATGGACTTGTAAATTGGATTACTGCCCGGTTTTCATTTGACGGAGAGGAATGTACATTTCACCCTGGAATTTGGGGTGAGGAGTAATTAGCCACTAAGCTGTAAATTGTAACATTTGGTAACTCGCTCATACTAGTCCGCTAGTCATTTTGGCATCATCTGTTGAGTTCGATTGTGCGGCGGGTACTTTTGAATTTTCTTGCATTGGATATCAATCTTATGTTTGATTGAGAAAAAAAGGTAAGAAGTGAAAGCAGGGAAAAAAAATTGTTAAGACGAGAACTTAACAGAAAAGGAAGAGAAGAAAAGGATATTATGTAATTCACTACAACAGCCAAAAGTAGATCATGACCACAATTGCAGGTTAACAGAAGGAAAGAGAGGGAGATCAATGTGAATTTGTGGAATCTTGCTGAAACTCTAGTTTCTCATTGTATTAAGAGATCTTCGAAGCACTAGGTAGGATCTGAGCCGTAGTTTCTCCCGCTCGTCGTGATTTTGTTCTTGAAACTTTAATTCAGGGTTCCATCTGAATCAATTTCGCTATAGCAGGCTACTTTTCCGCTAGGGAATACTGATGTTTAGGTTCTTTACATGTTGATCTGCTGAACTTTGTGGGGCTGAACTTTGTGGGACTTGACTTTAAGCTCGTAACCTATGATGGAAATTTACTTACTTCAATGCAGAAAACAATACCTTCAAGCCATCTTTCTTAGTGAAATTCGATCATCTCCAACTCAACATGGCATTCTGTGATCATATATACTCGTGCCTTGAAAGTCCTACTTTAGATCGCGAATGCCTCCCGGACTCCAGACTCAATTGCAGCCACTTTACGTTACCAGATGGCTTACCGTGTACAGAACCATGCTGTTGATCTTAGAGCCCGTTTGGTTTGACTTTGGGGGAATGCATTTAGGGGACTGCAAATACCTTTGGGCTAAAGAGGTTTTCCGAAATGCAAGTAGTATTTGGTAAGTGTTTAACTTGGGCTAAAGGACTTTTGCTATTTTTTTTTTTTTTAAAAAAAGCTCCGGTGGAGCTACACCGCCGGCCACCGCCTCCGGCCAGATCTGGTCGCCGGCCAACCGCCGACGGCCAGATCCGGTCGCCGGCGACCACCGCCTGGGGTCGCCGGACCTCGGGCGTCGCCTAGGTCTCGCGACCCAAGCAACGCTTTGCCTGGGTTGCGCGACCCAGGCGACCGCCCGAGGTCCGGCGACCCCAGGCGGCGGTCGCCGGGGTCGCGCGACCCTCCGACGACCACCGCCGGGGTCGCGCGACCCCGGCGACCACCGCCCGGGTCGCCGGACCTCGGGCGTCGCCTCGGGTCTCGCAACCCAGGGCAACGCTCGCCCGGGTCGCGCGACCCAGCGACCGCCCGAGGTCCGGCGACCCCAGTGCGGTGGTCGCTGGGGTCGCGCGACCCCCGGGCGGTGGTCGCCGGAGTCGGGCTAGCCCTCAGGCGGCGGCCGCCGGACCTCGATTTAGGCAAAATGAACAATGTCGATGAATAGTGCAAGTTGCATTTCGAAAATGCAAATTCCCAAAGAACCTGCAGAGGTGCATTGGCCAAAGATCCCTTGGCCAGCATTCCAAATGCAATTGCATTTTCCCAAAGTGAGTAAAAAAAATTGCCAAACGCCATTTGTATTTGGCCAAGGGACTTTAGAGGCCAAATGAGCATTGGGAATGCTGAACCAAACGGCCCTTAGTCTCCCGGGAGCTGAAGAAGCACGTTTTTTTATCTCAGTCGATCAAAACCAGACACCCTTGTGCACCCACGTGCCTCTGCAGATTCCCAGAGCTGAACTGACAAAGCTTCTTCTCAGTAATTTAATCACCAATTATGAGAAGATTTACCAGAATGCTCAACCGGTTCAGTCTTATGAGCCAAAGTTTACAAAAAAAAGAAAGACGGCATAGATACTATCAAGTTCGACCACTCCCCTGAGGACGAAACTTGTTCTTTTTTTCCCGACAATCATGATGATGCAGCCGGTTCCTAATCCAGAAGAGGATATGTGCCCTATAGAGAAGATCATTCACTCATTTGATCAACGAGGCTCACCGCACAGCCTGCACTGTTATTTCAAGAATGCAGAAGGAGGACATTGTTTTTGGCTTCCATATTGTCAATGTGACGACTGTCTATCACTCCTCATGATGATGAAGATGAAGATGATTCTTCCTTCAAAAGGATGCAAAAGAAGTGTTCACCTGAACACAAAGTTTTCAGAGGATATGAAAGTGTGATGTATCCGTTGGTGCTCTAGGAGAAGGTGGTAAATACCAATATTTAGTCTCCACCAGTATGGTATTAGCTACTTACATCTCCACCTTTGTCCTCACCCTCACCACCTCCATCAAGACCCAAACTTCCTCTCTCTAAGATGAACAGTGGAAAGCAATTGCGAATTACTCTTAGAGTTTGTTTCCTGTTTTACTGGAAGTCTCAGAGACTGGTGGAGTTCTATCTCCTAGCATAATCGAACACTGTTCCTTGATCAACAAGATTTTGCTTGAACTATTTGCATACTGCATCAATTACTTATCCGAAGTTCCGAGGACCTCAAGGAACTCAAATGGAGAGTGTTCTTCCAGAGGAAATGCTGTTCTTTTAAAAGAAGAGATCTTGATTGCCATGTCCAAGAAACTGTCAAAATGTGTTGCAGATCCTTAGCAGATTTTTAGGATTTAGTTTTTTTACCTATTTCAGTTAGGATTTGTTTTTAAAATTCTTCATATCATTAGGGATAAATATCTTATTTATTTTTTATTCCTTGTATTTTGGGATCTTATTGTTTTTCTGTTCCTAGAGATAAGCTTCTACGGCTTATAAATTTGTAAGTAGCGATTCAATCAATAATACAGTTTAGCTAGTCTTTTCTCCTTCAACCAACTCAACATGGTATCAAAGCATGGTTGTTCTGATCTGTAAAGTTGAGAAAAAACCATGGTAAAGACTGCCATGACAGGGGCAAGCAGAGGAGCAGACTCGGATGGTTCTACGATCATCTCGTCCTCCTCTACAATTGCTCCTACTCCTTCTTTCCTTAATCAATCCCTCTCCTCTCCTCAAATTATCTCACTGAAATTAAATGGAAAAAACTTCCTCTCTTGGTCTCGGTCAGTCCTAATGGTCGTTAAAGGAAGGGGTAAGCTCTCTCTGGGGGATCTACTGGTTGAGATCCATGGATAATAGATTCCGGAGCTACTGATCATATGACTGGATCTGAAACTATTTTTTCTACATATCAACCAAGTCCGGGTAACATTAAAGTGAAAATTGCAGATGGTTCCCTTGCCTCTATTGCAAGGTCGGGTATTGTCCATTTGAGCCCGACAATTTGCTTAGTAAATGTTCTCCATGTCCGTAAGTTGACTTGCAATCTCCTTTCCATTAGTAAGCTCTCAAGGGATTTGAATTGTATGGTTCGGTTCTCACCATCTATTTGTGAATTTCAGGACTTGAGTTCGGGGAAGAGGATTGGCAGTGCTAAGGAGCACGGTGGACTTTATTATTTTGTTTCAGATTTCTCCATTAATAAAAATGTTTTCAATGTTAGTTGTGAATCTTTTCCAATGACTCGTGAAAAACATCTCATGCTATTACATTTCAGACTTGGACATCCAAGCTTTGGATATATGAAACAATTATTTCCATCATTATTCCTTTCAAGTGATGTTTTTCAATGTGATATATGCCAATTAGCTAAACATAAGCGCTCTTCCTACTCATCTCATGAACATATCCCATCCTCACCATTTTCTTTGATACACAGTGACTTATGGGGACCTTCACATGTTTCAACTAATACGGGAAAAAGGTGGTTCATTACTTTTATAGATGATCATACCCGTCTTACTTGGGTATATCTATTAAAAGACAAGAGTGAAGTTTCTCATATCTTTCAAATATTCCATACCATGGTTAAAACTCAGTTCGATACTAATATCAAAATATTTCGTACTGATAATGGTACAGAATACTTCAACTCCCCTCTTGGGAAATACTTGGAATCCAACGGCATCCTTCACCAAAGTTCTTGTGTCCGTACCCCAAAACAGAATGGTGTTGCTGAACGCAAAAACAGACACTTGTTAGAGGTAGCCCGTTCCCTCATGTTTACAACTAATGTACCTACATATCTTTGGAGGGATTCTATCTTTACAGCTTGTTACCTAATTAACCGGTTACCCTCACGAGTTCACAAGTATGAGACACCAATCAACATTCTTTGCAAAACTTTCCCAGATCACCAAATTGTCTCCTCCTTACCACTGAAAGTTTTCGGCTGCAAGTGTTTCATTCATATCACTGATCCTTCTCGTTCAAAGCTTGAACCTCGAGCCATTCCATGCATATTTCTCGGTTACTCCTCCACAAAAAAAGGTTACAAGTGTTTTATTCCCCAACATAAAAAATGCATTATCTCTATGGATATTACCTTTTTTGAACAGCAACCTTTTTTCAAGAATTCTCTTCAGGGGGAGAAACCAGTAAATATAGAGGAAGACAATTCTTGGGACACAATCACTGAATCCTTTACGCTCACTGAATCTATCCCTACCGTCCCTACATTGCCTACAATGCCCGAATCACTATCTCAACCTATATCCACTATACCATCATCTACCGAAACCAATATTGAAATAGAAACCGTGTCTCCTTTTATCTCTGAGATCGTACCCAATAGTCCTGAAACCGTACCCAATAGCCCACAATTACACACTGAATTACGTGTTTATTCACGTAGAAATTTGAAACAAAATAAGGAGACCATTGTGCAACCCGAAAGCAGTCAATTCTTGGACCCGAATCAGTCTAATAAGGTTAGTGAGCTCGACATTCCCATTGCTGCTAGAAAGGGTGTAAGATCATGTACACAACATCCTATTTCTAATTATGTTTCCTATGGACATCTATCTCCTTCTTTTAGAGCTTTTGTTACAAGGGTTTCAGGTGAAAATCTTCCTAAGGATATTCATCATGCCTTAAAAGAACTACAATGGAAGAAAGCTCTATTTGAGGAGATGAGTGCCCTTGAGAAAAATAACACCTGGGATATTGTTGAAAAACCCAAGGGGAAGACTCCAGTAGGGTGCAAATGGGTTTTTACAGTTAAATACAAATCTGATGGCTTAGTGGAAAGGT